TTTGGACGCACCTGTATCTTATTGCGTTTTTATAGGCGACGGTCATGTAGGTATAGATTCACGTATTGGTCTTTGGAAGAGATGGGCACATTACATTGGTATATCATCCGTATTTGTGTAGATATGTATGCATGCCTTGATATTCCAGACATCACTGCAGCAATTTTATAGCCGATGTTTCACTATACTAGCTGTTTGTTAATGAGGGCTGGACTATATACTCTATCCAAATACGCACTCAAATATACATGCATATATACATGCACTTATTGTGATGCCTTTGTGTATGTGTGACCAATTTCTGCACTGATAGATATATGGTTTTTTGTTACTCAGAGTAAGTCTTTTACACCTGCGAATAGTAATGCAATTGCGCACTTCAAGTCCGCCTATTTTGAATTTTTTTCTGTCCCATCATTGCTTCCTATTCCTCTATTCAAATTGTATATGAATGGAATAGTTCTTGCATGGCCTTACTCCGTTTTTCTGCTCAGAGCATGTTCATGAACTTCCTATTTTAAAGTTGATTGCGTTTCTGCGTCTGAATTGTATTATATCGTTTAAGCTTGTTCCCACAACATGAGTGTGTAGTGTACCGTGTGTGTGACTAAACGTAAAGATTCACTTCCCAATATGAATATCAGGCGCTCAAGCGTCTGTTTAGGTACACGTTGTTATGTATGCGTGTGTATGCTTCAAAATATGCGTTGCGCATCTATCGGTGTAAATATATATATACGTATGTTTAAATAAAGTCTACTGCTATACATCACATAGATACATGTCCATATTGTTATCATGTTTGTATATTGTTTGATTTTGAATAACCACATACATAAGTCCAATCATACATACATGTCGACACATACATATCGGTTCAGATAAAGTCAAGTACATATCGTAGATTCTCTATCTGGTAAGCTTGTACAGAATATGCATCCTTATATGGCTTTATACTTGCTCTCGGCCAAACATCTGTAAGACCAGCCTGACTTTTTTTGCAAGCGTCTATCTATACACCACTCCCTATGCTTCATTGACATTTGTAGCTCTATCAATCCTTATGTCTGTTTGTTGTTTCATTTTCTTTCCTCGGCTGCAGTGTTCACAAAAACGGTCACAGTGGCGTATAATTTTGAGCAAAACCAAACGTTACGACTCCTTGTGGTGGATATTGACAAGCCTGACGGGGGCTTAGATAAGCAAGATATTATCGGTGTGGTGAAGCTAACGCTGAGCAGCATCCTTACGTCGAACGGACAATCGAAGAAAGTACAGTTGGTCAATGAGAAGAAAAGGAAGGTAGGGGGAGTGTATGGTGAGTGCTGTTTTTGTTTGCTTGTGCTGTATTAGTAGGTATCATATGTATTTGCAAGTATACTAAAAGCAGCTGGAAAATTTAGTCGAAAATAACTCAGCTAGTGAAGGAGAAGACGAGAAAATAGTACGCACAGACCCTCTTTGTTCTCGAGGCTTTAACATGTACACTCAAATTTTCCGAGTTTTTAGGGGTTTATGTATTTGGGGTTTAGGGATTAGTAACCCTGAACCCTAAAACTCTAAAACCGGTGGGTATACGGGAGTTCTTTATGTACTCGATTGGGTGTGTACTATCATCTACACAGGAATGTTCACTGGTAGTTCTGCGAGTGAATTATGGCATCAGGAACTGTCTGTATTCCTCTTACATAGTGTGCATTCCGACACAACACACTTTAGAGCTATGTATTTCTATTGCGTGTTGTCTGTATTGTTTTGCTTTTAGGTCAGTGCGTATATTTCTATCGTGTTTTGCGTGAGTTTGTCGTCGTGGCTGTTTGCATTGGTTTGTATGCCACACTCTTCTTTCTATATAATACTGGTACAGTGCCAAACAATCTCCTGGTATTATCACACAGATCAATCGTACGCGCTTGTTATAAATGTCCGTGTACACCTCATCTAGATCGGCGGTATCATACAAGTGTCTGCCGAAGAAATGATTGAGAGCAAGTCCATAGTGGCGCTGGACTTCAAGGCCACCAAGCTAGATAATAAAGACGGATTATTCGGCAAAAGCGACCCATTTCTGCGCATATCGCGGCAGAGAGAAAACGGCGAATTCGACGCTGTATACAAGACAGATGTGATCAAGAATAATTTGAACCCGAATTGGAAAAGATTCACCATACCTTTCCAGACACTGGCCAATGGCGATAGGGTAAGTGTATACATGCTAAATCCCATACGGTTGCAAGGGTTGTCGTGGTTTTGATGTTGTATGGGCTATTTTTTTTTGCATATCTAATATTGTTCTGTTTCTCTGCTTATTGAAATTCATATGTGAGTGTTTCTTTGAATTCCTGAATGCGAGTGAGTTTTGAGTTTATTGATGTTCCCTGGCCATTATTCGAAACCTTTAAATTCGAATTCGGAAACACGAGGCGATGTATACATCGAGCTCGAGCACATTCACACTTGCCTAAGATTCAAGAACAGTGACCCTTGGGTATGAGATCCCGCCTCCCGCTGCAACCGATCACAACCTAGTTGTATTATCAGCAGTTTGTAAAAGCAATCTGTGCGTCACAGTAGTATCCTTCTGCAAATATGTTGTCTGTATCATGTATATCAATATGCTTGCGCTCGTTCCGTCACGGATCTCTCACAACCCATGTCAATTCTCAATCCCTCGTGTCGTAGGAGCGTACGCTGAGGATAGATGTGGTGGACTGGAACGCCGATGGTTCAGAGGACCACATAGGAACGGTATACACATCTGTGCGCGCGTTAGAAGAGTCTCAGGGGCCAGCCAGTTCGATGCCGGTTATCAACGAGAAGAAGAAAGCCAAGAAGAAGAAGTACAAACACTCTGGTCTCCTGCACTGTGTGAAGTGTGAGCTGATTGTGGCCTCGACGTTTCTGGACTACGTCAAGAGCGGCATGGAGATAGGCTTGGTGAGTTCGGCTCACATACAATGCATGTTTGTGATCTGTGACGTGTGGCTTGTGGTTCATTGTGGAGTATTCATATCGCAGGGCTTTCTCCGAGGCTGTGTTCGAATATACATGTATTAGCGCGTCCTCAGAGATTGTGGGTGTGTTTCATATTAAGTGTGCGCATATACATATCAAATTCAAGGTAACCGGCAACCGAGTGAGTTTGCTAAATATGAATAAAGTCTGACGCGCAAAGTACGAATATTGTTATGTTGTTCTTCGTGCATGATTGCGTAAAATTGCGGTGTGTGCTAAATACGTACAGCCTTGTCATGTGAGCTGCTTGGTCTGTACATCATGTATATGTTGGTTGTATATATATGTGTGAGCATCATAGGAAACTTTAAGTGAGCTGTTTCATTGTCATGTTTCTTTTGTAAATGAATTCATCTCGGCTTCAGTTGGTTGATTCGCATATTTTATATCGAGCTGCTGCGTGGAACAGATGATCACTTGCCTGCGATTCGCGCAGCATATTGTCGCGTTCTCACAGTTAATCGTAAACGACTTGCCCATTTGTGAGATAAGTAGTCACACACATTTGTTCGATTCAAATAAGTTCTTAGCTCGTAGGATTATAACGTCTGACGTTGATGTGACGTGCCGATACCATGCATCTAACAGGCGATCTCATAATTAGAACTAAGATTTATCCGTCAAACTCGCGGTAACTAGCTGCGACCAATAGCTGTAGTACAGCGTCCACTTTTAAATATACTATCTGATATCTCACTATATATATATATATATAAATGTATACCATCTGATGTCTCACTATATATACATACCATCTGATATCTCACTATATATATATACCATCTGATATCTCACTATATATGTACCAGCTGATATCTCACATTACCTGTCGATGCCTGTATCCTACCATGCGCCACAGATGATCGGAATCGACTTCACAGCCTCCAATAGGGGTCCATCAGACCCACGGTCACTACACTACATGAACCCTAACGTACCCAATGACTACGTCACCGCCATACAACAAGTGGGACAAATCCTGGCCAACTATGATGCCGACAACAAATTCCCGTCGTACGGGTTTGGGGCGCGGATACCACCGAACGGCCATGTGAGCCACTGCTTTCCAATCAACTTCAATTATAATGATCCCGAAATTACGGGCATAGACGGAGTGCTTGCTCACTATCAGAACTGTCTAAGTTCAGGTGAGTGTGGTATCCGGCTCAGTCGGTTGTGAGGGTGCCCGTGGGTGTTGCTTACGTCGTCGTCATGTGACTTCGGTAGCATCAGTCTAGAGTTTTCAGCTGTGTATTGTTGCGAGTCGTCTGGCATGATGTTGTGACATCCTTGTGTATGTGGTTGTTCGTGTTGCTGATATTTAAAAAAATTAGAACAATTGAGTTTTCAAGCTTTGCCACGTGGGCACGTATTCCCGCTGCTCGCTCGTTTGTATCGAGACTATACACTCATATGTGCATAAAATAGTTATACTAGTCTAAATTAGCTTGTACGATATTTACCTAGTGGTTGGTCACTTCAGTCCGTTTGCTTTAGTGTCGCATGGCCACACATCTTGGTCCAGTGGTAAATGCGCCACTGGTTTATTGAGCTGAAATGCACGCAATATTTGTCCTGGAATCAGAGAGAACTCGATACGGTGTAGATTTATATTGTGTTTGTGCAATGTAAATGTATAATAACTCCCTAATAATGTACAATAACTTGATGCGATGTAATTTATGAGCCGTTCAGCTAATGATATCCTAACTACGACATTGGCTGTCGGTGTGATCTAAATCTAATGCTGTTTTCATTTATTTATTTATTTTAAACAGTACAACTCTCGGGTCCCACTAACTTCTCGCCAATGATCGAAACGGCGCTGGCACAGGCCAAGGGAACCACGGCCAAGAATCTTAAGTACACCATCCTGGTCATACTCACCGACGGAGTGATCTGCGACATGGACAACACCATCGACCAGATAGTGAAAGCCAGTACTGAAGCTATGAGTATTGTCATCGTAGGGGTGGGCGAGGCCGACTTCGGGGCGATGGACTACTTAGACGCAGACGATGCGCCTCTGGTGAACAGACAGGGAAGGAAGATGGCCCGAGACATCGTTCAGTTTGTGCCGTACCGAGACTTCAAGACCAAAGGCGAGCGCAGCATTGCCGAGGTCACCTTAGCCGAGATACCCGAGCAGGTGGTCAGTTTTATGGCTAGTAAGGGCATCCGCCCCAGACCCTCCCCTGCGAGCCTGATGCCCACGCCCAGTGTGGTGTCGACATCGTACGCCTCCAGCTACCAGTACGCTCCGGCTGGGTCGCCGCAGAGACAGGCGTCTACTTCATCGGCGAATGGCCAGCCACCATATCCAACTCATCCTAGTGCGCCGGTGCCACAACCGTCGCAACCGTACACAGCCCCATACCCAAGCAATCCGACTATACACACTGAGGATGTGCAGCGCAAAAACTTGCCCCCTCTGATACCTGACCACAGGCTCTCTAAGTCCAACTCGGCCTCGAACTCCCCTACTACGTCTATTTTAAAGAACCAATCAGCATACGGTAATGGAGGTTATCATTCACAAAACCAGAACACAGCACCGTATCCCACGGCCAATCAGAATGCGCCATATCCGGATAACAACGGTAGTAACACGAACAGGCAACCGGGCCGTTCTGGAAATAGACTAATTGGTACGGCCTCGGTAGTCAGCTACCAGCCGTTGGCAGCACCCCACGACCCGTATCGAAGAAATAGCTTACACAACGCACAAAGAGGGGGTACCCAGCAGGTACAACAATACCCCTCGCCCTATACAGGATCAAATAATAGTGTGAATACAGCCCCGTATCCTACCAATAACAAGAATAACCCACCGTATCCCCAATAAACTGTCTTTTACTCACGTATCTACTACACGCCACATGTGTATCTGTTTGCCTGGCAGTATTGCATTGGCTAAAGGATTCAGCTGGTGTTGTTTCGTACCTTCTTAGTCTGTCTGCAGTAATTGTACATGGGGCGGTGTTCGAGGTGAGCTTCCTGTGGATTGATCTCTCAACAGATATACATCACATTGCCGTCACCATATAGGTGGTATTATGCACAACGAACGAAAAAAAATTCAGTAGAACACCGTTGAAATGCTGCAGTAAAGCTTGTGCCTCCCGTCTTCATTCACTATCTACTATTTTATTCTTGCGCATGCATCCTACAAAAATTTAGGTCATTTAGTTGACATCAGAAATGTTTACCCTGCAAACATCAACAGATTCATGCCACCGTCGTCCAATAGACGAATTTTCTATTACAGGTAGAGTTCTATAGTAAAAAGTATATAGATATATATAAATATCTATATGATGATGATTTGCGTGCTTCATATTCTATGCTCAAGGCTTTTATTTGCCTTATGTATACATTTACTCTACACTAGAAAATACCAAATCTTACAACCTTGGAAAGAACCACGACCCAATAGCACCGTCAAGGTCTTCTTTGCCATTATACGGGTAAGTTGGTACCCATAACTTTGACAAATTGCATATCAACTTGTCATCTAGTAAATCCCAGGATTGGCACCATTCTCGTTCGTAGCAATATTGAGCACATGCTTCAAATCGTTCCACAACGGTCATATCTTTCAAATCGCTGATGTCTACAGTTTCATCATTATTATCGCTCACCACAAGTTCGACAGCTGGCACCCGGTAGTAAAGTGTGTCATCACCTTCTCCAATAACCCACTGCTTGTTCAGATTCCCGAGTTCTTTGATGCTATCTTCTGGATTGTACCCGTCTGCCCTGCATCGCTCATCAAACTCTAGCATACAGCTGGTACCCTCCACGCACTGCTTTTCTTCCGGATTTGAAGCAATACAGTTTCCGTCTACCTCAGTCGGGGTTTCACAGAATATACTACCGCTGGCAGAAAGGAAATTGGAACCCTCAGCTCGTATGGTGACATCCAAGTACAAATCCGGGTTAGAACAGGAATCAAATTTGTGATACATTTTCAACATGTCATTTTCTGTGTGGCCCTCCTCTCCGTCGCGTTCAAATACAACCAACTCGCCATCTTCTGTTGAGTAACCTTGGAGGTAAATATTATAATTATCGCTGAAGAGCATTATACATTTGTTGTCTTCCGGCATATCGGGCTTATACACGTATCCAATTGCCGTACACGCACCTTTCTCCCCTCCGCTTGCCTTATCACAGGCAACTGAGCAGGCCTTGGCGTACTCATCTACTGTATCAAAATTGTTATCGCCTCTGAGTGACTTCACATCTTCAATAGCATCCGATATCTTCGGATTTCCACCTCTATCATCGCATGGCTCGCTTGCGCAGCTTGGGTTTACGTAGTCCACTAATAGCAATTGATTTGCACTCGACTGATATACATCTGGCAGTGAGCTGACATTCTTCTGCATTTCTTCATACCCAGGTCTAAACCAGTTGAAATGTTTTTCCTTGAGCTCGTCAACATCTTCTGGTTTCAAACATTCACTCGCATAGATATCCGTGCTAACACAATGCAGACCATCCTCGCACTCATTTCCGTCGTTGTCGGTAAACGAATAGAAAGTACACTCTTCGCTATAACAGCTCTCTTTGTACTTGATACCGACACAACCCAATCTCGATGCACCCCCACCATCACCACACAAACTAAAACCGTATTGTTCGCCTTCCGAACAGAAATCAGCCGGGTTGCGGATGTATAGCTGCAACGCATTGGTCGATGGCGAATCGAACCCACTATCTTCCTCGATGTACAACTCTTGGAGATAGTAATAAACCTCTGATCTAAGCAGATTGACACAGAGTGTATTATCTGAGTCGGTACCGGGCAAAAACCGGATTCCAAATCCTGCACACCCGTTCTCAGGGATGTTTGCACACGCCTCCTCACAAGCGTCCCCGTATGCTTGTATGCTATCGTAGTCCTTTGACCCTTTAAGCTCTTCTACCACGAGTGGTGCGGGTTCTCCGCCGGAGAATACCCATAGGTCTAACACGGGAAATTTCCGGTCCGGAATAGGGTCTCCGGGAGGATACAGTACTTGATAGTAGTTCTATATTAACGAAACAGAATCAAACGTGAATATCAGGCAGTCTTTCAGAATGACTTTTGTAAACATGCACTGTGAATGAATGTTATCAACATTGTACAATTCATAAATCGCAATGTCGTTTATGTTCAACATTGCACAATTCTTAAATCGCAACGTCAATTGAGTGCCTTATGTTTCAGCAGCTTGTCATTGGCATATAACACCAATTCGGAACTCGATGGGGACTCAAGTATACTTGCACGATCTAAAAAATACACGGAAGTCATTGTAGTGTGTCAATGAAGATTGAAAACACTAGCGCGATTGACAACATACCGGCGAAGAAAGTACTAGATCATATCCATCGAAATTCAACTTTCCCATTTCGGTATATGTAGGCCCATAGTAAGCCAACCATTCCTCGGGAGTGATGGGTAGACCTTCCGTTTGGCGTCCATCGATTGAACACGCAAGCACAACGCCAAGAACTGTGCCTGTTCGGATGTGCATGCCTACAGATAGTGTATTTATAAATGGGTAATATATCTTGAAGGTCTTCACGGACTAAACTATAGAGGTATGTATGTGTATGTGGTAGTTACAGAGGTGTATGTCTTTTATATACACAGTATAGTGCATACGTTTATAGTGCATACGCTAATAGTGCATACGCAATGATCATAACGTGTGCTGACTGTGCTCCTAATGGCAAATCTGCTGTAGACGTATCAAATTTTGAAACTTGTGGAGCACTACATTATGAGTATATCAGTATAAGTGTGCGTGTATTGGGATTCTTTAATTTATATTCGCCGAGAACGGCATCTTTGCATAAAACGTTCATATTATCCAATACGATTGTTACAAACATATATTATTGCTTTTTAGGAGGTCAGATCTTCTAATCAGAACACTCTTATTTACTTTTTTGATCTTCAGTTTTTATTTTTATACGTATACTAGTCATGTTTATCATCATTCATTCACATAGTACTATAGTAGTCGGTGCTCTTAGCTCTATACAGCAAACAGGATATATTTCACTGTCTGCACTCGCCACTCTGCAGTGCAGAACAATTGGAATTTGCGCTGGAGCATGACTTTAATTACAAACATACTCGAAGATCGCATATATAGTAGATATCGCACACTATGGCACTGGATTTCCCTTTTACATACGTATAATTAATTATAGATAGATGCCATATTTTAGAAATATTCGAGATAATATTACTACGCATATACGAATTTTATAGTAACAGTTTCCAGTATCACTGCAGATAACGAGTTATTAGTATACATCTTAATTATTCATGATCCACATAGCCTTAAAAAATGTTCAAATTATTAAAATGTAGTGACAGTTTATAT